AATACCATTACAAACATTACAAACCATCAACTTTTAACCATTAAAACCATTAAATAATGGTTTCCTGTAGTGTGTTTTTGGACATATTACATTAGGATTTAGTGGCTTTAACAAAAGCCATGATTAGAAGGCGACCAATTACCAGTAGAGACCAACAGGCGCCATTACAGTTTCCATTAATACCAATACAATTTTCATTATAACCAGTAAAACCATTACAAATTATGTGATGGTTTTTATTTTTTTTAATAGAGGATTGAAATAAATTTATTATTGTGTGAACAAAAATACTTGAAATCTACAAAAAAAGAGCAGAATGCAAAATATATATGACACATCTTTAAATAGGATTTTTATCCTATCAAAATTTTGATGCATTGAAATTTTATAATTCTTGTTACCAATTTCAATATTTAAAAAAAAAATAAATAAAAAAAAAAAATACTAGCCTATATAAAAACAAGCTTATACTTAAGACAAGTAAACAGACACAAATTACAAAAAAACAGACCTACCTGAAACACTTAAAGCACTGAATAAGAAATTATATTTTATCAAATAAATGTACAAATAAACTGAATAGTCTTTTCACTGTATAAATTCAATATACATTCATTCTTATTTATTTACAAAAGTGATTCGGTCAAGGACAGTGAGTGATTTTCTTTCTAATGTTTGATTAACATTATTGACATAAATTTTAACAGCAGCTAAATTAGGCTGTTTTAGAGGAATAGCTCACCCAAAAATTAAAGGTCTGTTGTTGTTCTAAACCTGTATGAGTTTCCTTCTGCTGTTGAATATAAAAGTATATATTTGGAACAATACTGGTAATCAGACAGTTGCTGGGCCCCCATGACTTCCATAGCATGAAAAACAAAATACACTACTGGAATCAATGGGGAACAGAAACTTTCTAGTTACGAACATTCTTCAAAATATCTTCTTTTATGCTGAGGAGAACAAAGAAATTCATACAGGTTTAGAACAACTTGAGGATGAGTAAATGATGACAGTATTTTCATTTCTGGGTGAACTATCCCTTTAAAATCTCATCATATTAGGATCCAGGGTCGAATCTACCGGGGTGGCAACTGCCACCCTAAGAAAAAGCTGTGCCACCCCACCTGCCACCCCAGAATTATCACAGAATAAAATATAAATGTAAGCAGTGTTTCGTGTGCTATACTACTTTTCAGCCGCGGCGATGACAGAGTAACGTAAAATAATGGCAAAAACACGTCTTTTAATAAACTGTGCGCGATGGTTGCATGCGCACGCAAGCGTGCCAGTGTAGTCGGCTTCATTAACAAATGATTCTTATGAACAGGATCTTTTTGAGTCAAAACCACAAAGCGCGGCCCAGTTCACTAACGAATTGTTTTTACATTTGTTTGTGAATCAGATAATTACTGCTTTTCAGGTAACTCAGAATTCTTCTGAGAAATCTAATCCCGTCCGGATATGTCTTGAGATTCATCACGTAATTGTTTGGTGATCCGATTCTCCGACCGCTCGCTCCACTTTCATCATGGATACAATACCGCAACAATAACATGAAATCAATAAGATGCCAATCACAGAAACTAATAGCAGAGTTAGGTAAGAATCTAGTCGTATTGCAGTTTTCTCGATTGTTAATATAACCTATTTTAGTTGGCACTTTCTCCCCCCAAACCATTAATTCAGTTTTCAAAACAAAGACACATTTCGCAAAAAGTTTAACAATGAGCAAGTTAAACATTAGGTAGCAAAACAGATGACACACCAATCAGAATCTCTGCATGCAAACAACGGAGAGAGGAGAGCTGAGCCAATCATGATCTACAGGGGTTTTATACTTACACATACAGTATAATTACAGTACAGTATGTAACTATTCTATATGTACAGTAAACTAGCACGTGTTGTACACCTTCAAGCTTGTGACTGTCAAATTTTATTTGTATCCATTTTTTGTGTAGCCTACTGCATTTTTGCAGGACTGAGAAATGACTGCCTTGAGCTGTCTTGTGTCAAGAGACCAAGAAACTGCTATAGTACTGTATACTGTAATGAAATTTGGCCAAATGTGCAGAGGATGCTAAATTTACTTTTTTTCATTTTATTTTTTACTGTACTGTATTGTGCTATTGATCTCAGTGTTCACTGGGTAGGAAAGTCATCTGTGTATTTGAATTGTGTGTAAGCATTTACAGTATTTTCAACTGCTTCTGACAAGTAAAAAATCTTTACTCGTCACACAATTTCTGAAACCTGACACTCAAACACCAGAACCACAGACCAAATCTGCAAAACCATACACTAATTCGCTGCCTTTAACTCAGTTTTCAATTTCATAAAACACTTTTTGCAAAACACAACACACAATTCTCTATGTAACACACACAAATCTAACAGGAATTAATATTATGGCAAAGGTGTTTGCAAATGTTTGCTTTTGAGATGTGTTTGTGATATTTTGAATGCGGTGCTTCATTTTGCAAGAGATGTGAGGCATTTTGCATTTTGAGTGTGCAAGTCTTGGATTTGTGTGTAAAGTTTTGAAAAAAAGAGGCAAAGTTTTGAAAATGTGTGTAAGCAGTTTACAAAAACCTGTAAGAAAAACTGTAATAACTAGATTGAAAAGTTTGAAAGACAAATTTATGCTGGTTTGTCTTAAAGTCTTGTTTAAAAAACGTAAATGGTTTGGTCAGTTAGATGTTTTCGATGTTTGCTAAAGTGTTGCTAGTTGGTTGCTAGGATATTCTGGGTGATTGCTAGGCTCTTGCTATGCAGTTGCTGGGGTGTTGCTAGAGTATATGGTTGATAGAGTTTGTTCTGGGTGATTACAGACATTCCCACCTCTGTTTTCAAAACTGTTTTCAAAACTGATCCAGTTTCAGTGCTTTGATATTATTGTATTTCTTTCTAATATTAGGAAATTCAAAAGTTTTTGTTGCTCTTAAACTTGCACTAAACATGATTATACCATCTAAGTAGCCTATGTAATTTTAATAGAACCGCATGTCTTCTTTAGTGATCAGAAGCTCAGAAACATTTATAACCTGTTGAAGTTTTTTATATTGTGCATTGACTTGGTGCCATGATGGATATTGAAATGTTGTTATTTATTTTTCATTTGAAACAGTATAGATGATTACCTAATGCAATACAATATTTGTGAACACAACTGTGTCAGACCATAAATCCCCAAAAACTATGCATGGGGGCTTGCTTTGGTGTTGCCACCCCTCTAGACCCCATGCCACCCCTTTGACACCCTAGAAATTGTTTTCTAGATCCGCCCCTGTTAGGATCTCATATAGCCTACTACTACACATGCTTTATATTTAACTAATAACGTTAGTTTAAGACACAAATGACTGTGTTGACGAGGAGACATTTTGATACATAACTGTGCATGTGAACGTTTAAGCACAAAGCGCGAAAAATAACTCAAGTTTAAACTGGCGCTGTACGAGCAGGTGCGTGCCGCACGTATCAGGCCATAACCGCCTTAATGCGCGCATTTGCCAAAATGAATTCTGCCCCACTGCTTAATGTCCCTGAACAGTTAAATTAGTTTTTAAACCACAATGCTTAAAATGCGTTTTAATGAAAAGCTTAACCTACATCATGCCGTGCAAAACGATTGATATATTTCTACCGGTTTATCTCTCAACCCATAAGCGAATATACTTTGTTCAAACACAAAAAGCAATATACATCAGGAGACATTTTGACACATAACTGTGCATTTGAACGTTCAAGCACAAGGCGCGAAAAATAACTCAAGTTTAGACTGGCGATGTACGAGCAGATGTGCACCACGCGAGTCAGGCTGAAACCGCAACGCGCGCATTTGCCAAAGTGAATTCTGCCCCACTGCTTAATGTCCCTGAAAAATTACATTTGTTTTTAAACCACAATGCTTAAAATGCGTTAAAATTAAAAGCTTAACCTACATCATGCCGCGCAAAACGATTGATAGGCTATATGGTTTATCTCTCAACCCATAAGCGAATATACTTTGTTCAAACACAAAAAGCAATATACATCCATCAAGTTGTTAACTTGTTAATCAAATTAACCTAAAATCTGTGGGGACGATGACGCTGTGATTTTATCTGCTCCATGTGCCCGGTCCACTTGCTGTTTCACAACTTCTACTCCATCAGCTTTAGTAAAATAACCTGATAGCTGGGGATTTTACTGACTCACTACCTCATGTTTTCTCCTCTCTCCTCATTTTTTAGAATAGCCCCTCTCTCACTTTCTTTTTAGAATAGTTTACATTTTTACTTATCGAAGATTGTTCTTTGCATGGCCATTTCCAGATTATGCCAGGCCCAGAACGAAGTGAAGAGAGGTGAATGCAGACATTGCAGCGATCACCTGATTGATACATGGTGCACGGGTCGTTCAAAAGTAAATATAGAATAAGTGCATTTGATTGGTAAACCAAATTCAAACGTGACGCTTTAATCTCTAAAGGTAATGCATGGAATATATGGGAAATCTACCCATATACCCATCGGCGCTACCGATGACCAGTGAATCTACTCCACAGCCAATCACGGGCCCCCTCCTTGTCCGGGCCCCGGGGCTTCAGCCCCACCTAGCCCAATGGTTAATGCGACCCTGATAGCAGCGCCTGTTTCTGAAATCCACAGCATTAATCTTGATCTGTTTTTGTTGTGTAACAGTCTTGATTAGCAACAGCTATCAGTTGAGACTAAATCTGCTTTCAGACTACACTACTCAAAGCCAGACTGGATGTTTTGTATGGCTCTTAGGTGGCACGAAAAGAATCAAGAGCATTAAGAGTTATGAGGTGTGATTGTGTGTACCATACCCTCCCGTGTATGTTTGCTGTGGGTTTCTTTAGATTTGGCATGCTGTAATTCCAACTGCTCTACCAATACTTGATTATGAGAGTTCTTTCACTGATGAAGAAGACGAGCTGACTGTGAACAGCTGGCAATTAATGCAAAGACAGAAACTAGAACCTTTCTAGGATATACAAATTAATTCCAGTTAACACAAACTACCTTCCTGAATTCTAAGCTTTGGGTTAAAACGCACACACACACACACTGTTCAGCTCAATGACAGGTTTAAATTCAGAAATTCAGAGAAAGGGAAAAAGTATTTCTGAGGGAGTTGTGCGATGCTGTCTGAATGCAAGCCTGCAGTCTAGTTTAAGCAGACTAAATGATTACAGTTTAAGCAGACTAAATGTATACAGAAGTCCAGCATAAGTAACTAAAGTGAAGTCTGTCATTTCACCAGAAGATTGAATTAAGAATTTGATTAAAATGAATTAGATTAAAAAAATATGTATGGATGAATTGTTTACAATATGATCACTAACATATATTTAGAAAACAGATTATTATGTCAGATTATTTCATGACTTTAACATTAAATAAGAGAGAGGAAACCTAAATGACTATAATACAATTGAACACAACTGAACAATTCTGGTAATAACAGAGTGCATCTTCAAGAGCCGTTAATGGAATATAGTTAAGATCTGGCATTTTTTTCCTTTGTTTTGAACAGTGAAAATGGCATATACTCTTAGTCGGTTTGTATTGAAACATCCTCACTCATATACTCATAACTTCAGCCCCATGACCGTCAGCCATAACCAAACAGGCTATTAATCCTGTGATAAGAGCATGGCTAGCAGAGTGAGGCATGCCTCAAGGACAAGATGCCGTGTTTTTGTTATCGCCCTCAGGACTATCGCAATCCCCTGGACATTTTTCCTTTTCACTTTTTTCCCTAATTTCTGTGAAACAAAATTCTCGGAGGGAATTTCAGTGTAAGTGCACTGTGATTTCTTTCCAGGCACACAAAAATGCATACACTTTTACACTGCACAGAAACACACTCATACTCACCATTCTTTGTTGCTAACAGTGCTGCTTTTGTTGACCTGAGCATGAAGTTTCTCATTTTCCTGAAAAACCTCCTCTGTACGTGCTCTCAGTCTCTGTAGTTCTTCCTGTCAGAAGAGACATAGTCTATGTTTATTTTGCCATGGAAAAAAACACCACAAACTGCTAAAATACTTTAAGTAAGGTTATTGGTATGCATGAACGTCCTCTGGTGCATCTGTAAATGCATTCATCTCAGCCAGAGATCATCTGAAACTTCAGCATAGGTGCACAAAGTGAAAACGTCACCTCAGCTCTCTCCAAACCAATGCTTAGCAAGCTCTCAAAATAACACCTTGACACAGGAATGAATCTCTTTAATCTTATCTTTCAGAAATTTCCAGAAGAATCTGGGACATTTTTAAAGTATAAGTTGCTTAGTGTTTGTGTGTGTGTGTGTGTGTGTGTGTGTGTGTGTGTGTGTGTGTGTGTGAATTTGTCTTTGATATATTTATCACAAATATCACTGATGAATGTGATTATTCAACACTTGACTACAGAGAGAGGGTGGTAAAATTAATTGTATGTCTCTTTAAAATATAACACATGACTCTGAATGGAAAGATCTTTAAATTCAAGGCAGGTAAATCTGGTGGGAGTGTTGGCTGCAAGGCAAGTGTGTTAGAAAGAGAGAGACAGAGATTAAGTGAAAATGAGAAATGTACTGAACTTGCGACACAAACACAACAGAACCGCTAGATTTAAATCAGCACAGCCAGCGAAGGATCGAACGCAACTGTTTTGAACGAGCGCACCTTTTTTTTAACAACCAAAAAGTTTTGTTGTCTGTTGCGGAAGTACAGACGTTCCTCTCGTTGATAGCAGAGGAGCGGATCCAGCGAGAGCTTGATGGGGCGACGCGGAATGAAAAAGTTTTTTTTTAGGAGTCGGGCTATAACGACATGTGAATAATCCCGCCCACTCTAAAGCGGTACTGAACTGCAGTGGAAACGCAAACCATGCCGAGCCGAACCGTGCCGTGCCGTACTGAGCCGTACCGAGCCAAGTCGTACCACGCAGTGGAAAAGCGCCAATAATTACACAACAGTGCCAGTTCTTTTAGACAGACAGCTGAAAAAGGATGAGACAGAGACTCGTGTAAAATTCTCACAGTAGTACGCAGAGCAGTGAAAAGAAAAAGAAAAATACACAAAATATGTGAGACACAAGCACAACAGTCAATCTAGCACGTTTAATAGAAAAACAGTGGAGGAGCAGCACAGACGAACACAAAAATGTATTCTGTGTGAACGACTCTTTAGAGTAAAGTTGAAGGGAATGTACCAAAAGGAGCCGTGTAGTATGTGGTCACTGCGATTAGCAGTAATATTGGATTGAAAATCTGTGACATGATGGGACTGAGTCTGACAGCAATGCGAGAGCGTGTTTCAGTGGGTGTGGATATGTGCTTTAAAGGCAATGAGAGATGAGTCTCTTTCAGACGTTGATGCAAGAGGGCAATTCAGAACTCACAAGTGACATGAACCAGTGGCCCCCTCAGGACAGACACACACACACACAGACACACATACACAGCTCAAAGCTGATGTAGCTCAGAGGTTGCTTTAGGACAACCTGCCATTGTGAGTTTAAAAGACAGATTTTGTGAGCGTGACATGGTCTGAAACCTTCGCTCTTCCTTCAAAACACACACTTTGTTTTTATATTATGGAATATACTAATGGCATTTTTTTATATTTAAAGCTGAAGTGTGATATGGTTTCAAACATTAAAGAGGTTTGATACAGGTGAGTGACCTCTCTCATACATATGAAAACCTACTTGGGAAGGACTTCTATGTCAATTTACAATACATCGGGGCAGATGGCAAGTTACAGACAGACTTTGTAGGTGCATTTCCTGTAAAACAATGTAACTTGCAACTTAACTACAATAGTACGATGCATTAGAGAAATTAAGTAGCTAGTCACAACTGTTTCCCAAAACCGTAGTAACTTCATTGGCATATCTGTCACTTGAACTGCATTGTTTCATTTAATGACATCACGCAGGTGGTGGAGCAAAAACTTCTGCTAATTAATTGCCTCGAGATCGATTTAATGTTAGATTACTGTTGTAAATAACATACATGGCATCTGAGGATGACTTTGCTATTTTACTTCTCTGTTGTTTTCCTATATTCTTATGTTTGATTAAATCGCAGGATCCCTCTTACGTCACGGAAAAGTATGGTTTTGGGAAATACTAAATCACTGATCTATGTTGGTTATGATGGATCTTGTTGGCTAACAATGATATTGGAAAACACCAGGGGTGTGAAGTAACAAATTACAAATACTCACGTTACAGTAATTAAGTAGTTTTTATCAGTAATTGTACTTTTTTGAGTAGTTTAAAAATTGTGTACTTTTACTTTTACTTGAGTACATTTTAAGTGATGTATAGGTACTTTTACTCCGCTATTTCCCTCCGTTTGTGGTCGTTACATGCTTATTATAATTTTATTTTTTATCCATCAACGTCATTGGATAGAGAGTAATAGGTCTCGTTTAAATGGGGATGATTGTACTGAGAATAACTTTCATCTTTTCTTCAACTGAATACTGTTTCCGTGCTGTTTTGATGTATTTTAAAGAGTTGGCAGTCAAAATTAAAACTGCTGGATGATAGATATTCTTCATTCTTTATGATAAACAAGATAATGTGAATTACAGAATGTACAACGTTTTTAAAATGTATCAAATGCGGTGTACAGCGTTTATTATGAGGGGGTAGAATCCACAGCTCAGTACTCACTACTCAATACTCATGAGTACTTTTAAATAGGCTACTCTTTTACTCTTACTCAAGTAGTTTTTTGGACAAGTACTTTTACTCTACTCACACTACATTTTTTGGAAGGTAATGGTACTTTTACTTGAGTATATTTTTTCAGTACTCTTTCCACCACTGGAAAACACACACCTGTAAGAGTGTTGTAGAAAAAATTATGTTTGGTGACACTAGTGGTCCAGAAATAACACATCTTTAACTGAATAAGCTTAGTAATAGAATGGATTTCTTTTTTGCATTTTTACATGTTAAATTAAATGTACGTTACCATGCCCTTATGAGACAGCTTTCCTCATGTGTTGTGTCCAATGTTGTTTTCATGGAATGGATTCAGTTGAGGTCTGAACAGATTATGTTTTTGGATTTTAGAAAAAGAAATATTTTAGAGAGAGATTTTTAAAAGGCTGACTGTGGGTTTGCATTTACAATGCATAGTTGGATTATTTTCTAAATCTATAATTTATTATAATTTATTGTGAATAATGAATGGAGCAGTGGGCTAGTTTCATACATACTGTTACAAAAGCACAATGCATGAACCATTTCATTTTTGCACAAAGACATCAACAAAAAGCAGGTCATATTAAAGGGGTCATATGATGTTGCTAAAAAGAACATTATTTTGTGTATTTGGTGTAATGAAATGTGTTTATATGGTTTAAGGTTCAAAAAACACGTTATTTTCCACATACTGTACATTATTGTTTCTCCTCTATGCCCCGCCTTTCTGAAACGCGACGATTT